ATGGTTCGACAAGGTACTACTGACGACACCCTGCAGTACCTGTAGATTCCATGTCATTCTGGCCGAGTGGTCTAAGGCGCTGCGTTCAGGTCGCAGTCCTCTTCGGAGGGCGCAGGTTCGAATCCTGCGGATGACAGAAGCTTTTGTGGAATGAGTTTAATTTATGCGGTCGTCGCACGCGACGTCAGTGGACGAGTACACCTATGCTATGCTTGGGATTCATCCACGATTTCTTTTCCCTTGAGAGCCCCTTCACCCTAAATTTTAGTGCAATGCTAAAGTTTCTGTTCTTCTTGTATTCCCCTTCTTCATTTTGTCATCACTGATTTGCAAATTTCGCATGTAATTGCAGAATCAGACTCTCAGACTGTTTCATCGCTAACTTCTTGGAACGAAAATTAAATTATTCTGGAGATTACAGGAAGAGTTTTCACTTTTTGTTGCCTCGATAAACACGCTTCTGTATTGCAAAGCAGGAATTTATGGCACCTCTTTGTTGCTTAATGAGCGAAATTCCGCTTCTGTAATTCGTTGTTCTATATCGATACTAATGAAATCCCAGCTAAAAGTATTTTTGTAGCCATTCAGGATCTTAATGCCAGGCGATGACGATGTGGATATCGCTCCATCTGAACTGGGGACGAAATCGTAGTGAGTTTTTTGCGCTATTTCTATTGAATAATTTTGCGTTTTCATTTTTGAGCTCTGTTTGCCTCGTGCCCCACTCATCGAAATTCAGGCCACATTTCGGTCACAGTTTTCGCCTAGAGGTAGAGTTGGACAGAGTATCGTTACTGAGGCTTTCTGACTCCGGTTTGGCGCCAGCACCCCGATCAGGCGCGCCAAGCAAATGTAGCGCTCGCCTTTAGGGAGTCAGGCGCCCTTCTCGGGCAAAATCCTTGTTTTTAGCTATTGACGCTGGCGCCTGGACACAATGGACCGGCGGTTCCAAGCCTGTGGGATGTGATACCAGTATGCAAAGGATTAAAATATTTCAGGGAGTAAATCCGGCTAGCAGTATCACCGAAGAAATACTTCACCCGAACTGGCCTAAATTACATAAACGAGGCAGTACTGGGTGAATAATTCGGACTTCAGTCAAAAGTACGTAGTTAACGTTCATACGTGTTCGCTCATGCGCTTTTAGGGGTGTGGAGCGGGTCATCTGCGCCTCCCAGTGTATTCGCTGCCCCACTTAAAAAGAGCTTTCACTTGGTCAAGGCACCATGTTCGGAAAAGCTTCTCCTCTTCCCTTTTTTCTGCCTTTCCTTTTCTTTTTCTTTCTTCTCTGATCCTCCTTCCTTCACTTCCCTTCAACTGCTGGACTGGTAGATTCGCCGCCGTGGAAATATTGCCCTGGACCCTCACAGCGAGAATCGTACTTGGTTCGACATTGCCGATAACCTTTCCTTGGAGTTGACTATACGGACGCAGGCACAGAGAGAGCTGATCGACTCGAAAGACCCGGACGCAGAGAAAGTGGAGAGAGTCGACGGGGAGCAGCAGTGCTACGCTGTGTGTATTGGGTCCTGATGCGAACATTGCGTACGGTACTTGCAAGGGTCTACGGACAACTCGAACTCAATCCCTTTAAACGCGTCGATCTTCTCTTTTTCTCTGCACTCTCTCGTCCGCATGGCCGGTTACGTGACAAAAGAAACTTTTGGGGGTCCTGTTGCGAAAGGCCAGAGGGCAGAGGACAAAGGACTGCGGCTGCGTGCAGATGCACAAAGACTGCGGGCTGCAAGGCCATCAAGAGGTACAAGGAACATGTGCGCGATCCAAGGAGCAATGAGTGAGTTTCCTCGACTGAAACCACCGGGGAAGGTGAGCACTCAGTGTGCGGCAAAAGTTGTGATGTGAGAAGTCAGAGAGGTCACAAAGCGCCATTCAGGCGAGAGAGAGCGCTGAGAGAAACAGAATTTTGGCGCCATTGAAAGGGCTGAGTTTTAGTTGTACGTAGACCTGCTTGGCCTATTTCGCCGCACTTGCCCTGACTCGGAAGTAGCGCTCCACAGGCGTGCCTCTAGCCGAGTCGTGAAGATAAAGGAAACTGTCTGAGTAACAACCGCTTCTTTAGTAAGGGGACCTTTACTGCTTACTGTAATGGAGTGATGGTGAATAGCGGAACTGGCGTGAGTCTGCGAGAGGACACTGAGAGTATGTGTATTAGTTTACAGAGTAGGAGAATCAACGAATCAAAAAAGCGCGATCAAAATCAGATACGGTTCGACTCGCCTTCTTGTCTTCAGTTCTCCCCTTCTCCAATTCTCCAGATCAACAATATAGTTTCTCTTTCGCGGAATTTTCCGATTCCCTGTTGTTGTAAGACATGATGGCCGTCTATGTAAACCTACTAACTAAACTCTCAAAGAAATATGCTTTTGAGTATTTTTCAAACGATAGCTGCTTCAATAAGCATGTGCCTGAGAGCGAGCCGAAGCCCATAATGAGCCTATAATGAGCTTTAGCATTGAAAGACGCGTTCTTAAGCTCACCCTTCCTACCAACATGCCGGTTTGAACGGGTAGAGAAGTTCTTCATTACGCGATCGAATTTTGCTGGTCCCTGACTCGAAAAGTTGTTGAAGGGAGCTTTCTGATGCTGATTTCAGCTGGGATTCAAGATACGAGCTAGAATTGCACAATTTCGAAGAATGCGGCGACGAAGGCGAGATATGGTTCGGAAAAAGTGCTGAGAAGAGGTTATCTCCATACTTGTTCTAGATCGCATTTATTTAAGAAACTTAATTTCTTACGTTATTGTCATCTATAGGATAATCGACTTTGTCACGACGCACGTGTCCAAATCAGCTCCGATTCTAGACTTAGGATGCGGAAATGGTTCCGTTCTAAGGAGATTGGTGAGTGTTGCAGTATTTTTAAGATGGTTAGAGAAGCTTAACAAATTTGGGACTTTTTATATTCATCAGGTTCGTAACAAAGGTGTTATTTCATTAGTAATTACCTGAACTTCCTAAAGTATCTCGTGAAAGGATTTTGCCCGTTCTGCAGGTGTTCACTCCATGCTTTATGCGAATAATGCCATTAGGTGAACAATTTTCCGCACTGGAGGAGATTTTGCCGTGTTTTCGCCTCAGAATGCGTTCATACTTTGCGTAGAGTGACTAGGAAAGTATAGGTATCGATCTGCGGCGTACGCTTGAAACGCTGAATTAAGCTATGATTCACTGTCGCTCAACGTGTTGGCATATGCCTAGAACACTTAAATTACTGACCCACGCTCATACCGTTGACGCTAAGTGTGAACGCACTCTTAAATGAGCGGATGGGAAATTGGGGAACTGTTTGGCTAGTAATCTTTTCTTCGGTAATAGTACTGTCGTTAATATGCTGGTGTAATACCCTTAAAATCAGTAGTACTGCTAATGCGTGTAGCTCAGGCGAGTGAATGGATCGCTTCGTTGTTCTTTTTGTATTTCTGTGCTCATGTGCTACATATTTTCGGATTAATTAGTCAGCGTGCCATAATTGAACTATCGATGATTCTTCTCATTTCGAAGAAAATAGCGTCAGTAGGCGATCCGGAATGCTTATATCTTAATGTTCAGAGAAAGAACGTTAACGCCCGAACCCCCTCACAGGACTATGCCCTGCTGCAATAGAGTTGGCGAAACGAGTTTCCGAGGAGGATGAGGATGCTTCCAAAGGCGACATCACTTTTGAGGTAACTGGTGTGCTTTACTTTATATAGCAGAATAGAATCGGCCACATTAGTTTGAGATACCTTACGATTTGGTTGAGCGTATTCTCCGAGAGTAGTAAACCAAAATGTATTGAATAATATCGTTGATGTGGATTTACATGGAAAGGAACAATTCTGAGCGCTGTTCGGCTTGGTGGGGGCACTAACTGGTACACATCGAAGCAGCGCTGTTTACGCGGGGGGTGCAATTTGCGTTATAACTGCTTCCGGCGCGAGCGGAAGCGGACCTGGTAAAACTTGAACGGAGCAAACGTCCATCCCTAAAACGTGTCAGCTCGAATGAAGGTACCTAGAGGGTGGCAATCTATGGAAAGCAGAAGCCCTCCCCCGTCGTCGATAAACAGCGCCCACAGTTCACTTTGCGAAAACGTGTGACCATTTTGCAGCTTCACAAGAGCTTACAGCTTTCACCAACGCGAGACCTAATGAGCAAAAATCCGCGGCTTCCTCCCCCCCAACGCCGAACACGAGCGTCTAAATTTCTGAGCTCACAACCAATTTGTTCTCGGTTCTTGATAATACTATCACCTGACAGGAAGTCTTTTTCAAATCAGTATTCGGTTGTTTTGGACAAGGGCACATGGGATGCAATGAGCCTTTCGAATGATCGAGGTAATCGTTTCATCAATGTTTGAGCGTACATCTTTTTTTTATTTGCCTTTTTGCGCACGTAGCGCTTGGTGGGCATTTTTGCTTGTTCCTGCTACTACCACTGCCGATGCCTCGTGTGGAGAACTGTGAGCTCCTGTAAATCCGTGCAGTAAAAATAATATTCGTCTACATCTCCTATAAAGCTGTGATGTGTGATTTGACAAGAAGTAGCAGAAGGAACAGCTATAAATATGACATGCCCCTCTGTCGCCGAACAGCGCTTTTTTTCATTGGGATCAACAGCAGAATTCCTAAATGTGATTGAAGAGGCGGAATTTTCCTTTCTATTTTCATCCCTTACCCTCTTCATAACGAAAAAAGTTAGTTCACATAACACCCTACCGCTTAGTATGATTGCATATATTTCAAGCCGTGGTTTGCTTGGAAGGAGATTATTTTTTTATTTCAGAACTGCGATTATGTGCTTACAAAACTGCTGTCAAAGAAGCTCTTTGCTGCTCAGGGAAATTTGTGATATTTTCGTGCAACTTCACTAAGTAAGTACTAGTAAATAGAATTGATGTTAAACCATGTTCAAAGTTATATCTTGCCTGATCTTTGCTACTATTCATCGAACTTCTCCTGAGGAATTTTGTTGGTCGAATGTGAAGGAACATTCCGCGATTACTTAACGTGGACAAACTTCAAATGGGCTAGGGTCCTAAGGCCCTGCTCTACTTAGAGGGGGTGCATTTTGCATCCTTGAACTGCATTACTCACCTCCTTTGGCAAGACTCACCATGACTTTGTGGAAACATTTCATCTTTTCACCCTTCCAAATTTCCTCCTTCACTGCGACCTTCACCCCATAACTTTCCTGCTATCCCACCAAATTACCCCAAAATTTCACCGTGGGGAGGGGGTTGGAGTAGACACCTGCGGTCAACTATCAGTAGTATTTGTGTTGCCAAATAAAGGTGGGGAGGGGGGGGGTATAAAGGCGCCTGTGAAGCGAAAAATGACACAGCGTAAAAGTTTCTTTCATACTAAATACAAACCCCCATCTCACGAAGCCGAAATACGGATCGATATTCACCATAGATCTAATTGATTAGTAGAAGTATGCACTACGTTGAGTGAGTCAGTAGACGAACTGGCTAGTTGTTCAAGTGACCAAAATATGGACGTAACGTCCCACGCTTGTAGGGTACTGCTGTACGACTTTTGAATCGCATTTCAGGGAGGAGTTGTGCAAATTCTTCGTCGACGGTACTTCTCTTGTATTTCACAGTGAAATTCCAGCTGCGCATACGATCAGTTTTGGAGGTCGTCAAGGTGTTACGTCTACAGGTGTTGTTTTCGAAAGGACATGATCTTAATTATGTATATTGCTTTTGTAATTTGCTTGAGTGAAGATGTAGAATTAATAAATTATGTATGGTGACACCAGGTGGAATTAAGACGTTGAATGACGAATTAAAAAATTTATTTGATGTTCTACACTTCATTACGATGTTTTATTCGAGGAGGCGTTTTTTTTGGTTTGAAGTCTTGTTGACAAATTTGATTTCCATTTGTTTAAGTAAGTATTTCTTCATTTGACGAAATACAGCGAATATTGATGCGAGCAGTGTTGAGCCGAGTACTATCATTACAACTGTAATGATTTTATTTAATTGAGAAGCGACGCGCTAAGGTACAATCCATGTCTGGGAGCGGCAAGGGCGGGTAGGCTGTCGCATATTCTCTTTTAGTTCGCGCGGTTGTGCAAGAAAAAGGCAATAAAGTTAGCATTCATGAAACCGACTTGTATACTGCTCGCACATTACTTGAACCGGAACTACACTTCCTGCTTCTTGATCTATGACGATCAATCACCACCGTTACGTTTACGTCATCATAACCACGAAGCCATCGCGGATCATATCGCGTTAACCTTTTGAGAGTGAGGTTCACTAGTCCAACAAAATCTCAGCGAGCGCCAATGAGCAGAAGACGAGCCGCTTGGCCGCACTACTGCGTGGCCCACCTCAGAGAATTTGAAAATTACTCAAATCGCCGCACAAGCTGGTCTTTTCAAGGGCACTTGCACGCGAGAAGGGGAGGAATAAGCGGTGACACTGGTTTTCTGGCGCTCGCTAAGGCTGACCATGAGCCTGAAGAGAAGGAGGCACTATTTTGGAGGGAGGGAGCAGACGAGCAGAGCCAGCCGCGCCGTTGCATGTACGAGGGACGCTTTGATGGAACGTGAGACGCCCACGCTAGCCTTCTGTTCGGGTCATCATGTGGCGCTAATGTAGGCGAAAGGGAAGAGGAAGAGGGAGCAATCCATCGCTTTTCTGTGTATCTTCGCTCAGCCAATGTTTAGGCTTGTAGCGCAGGCGACCAGATTCGCCGAGGCATAGTCTCGCAGGGAGGGCATACATTCCACATCCCACGGTTGGAGTGGGCGTGGCCGCGTACTCCATGCGAACATAGGCGGCTGCACTTTCAGCATGATATTGCCATTTAAGGACTGTGATCGTGTTCTTGTGCAGCACAAGAAAGGATGACATGTCTCTCAAATGAAAATATTTCACGAATAACATGTCCTACACAATGTTCAGATGACGTACGCAGCCACGCCCTCTCCGACACCTGGATATGATATTTGATGCTCACTAGGCCCGAGCATTGTTTAGAGGCGCTGGGCACGATGGCTGGGGGCGGGAAGGTTGCTGCCAACGTCACTGGTGGAAGGGCGGAGTGGGGGATGGTCATACCCATGTTCTCAAAGTTACGTTTACGAATGTAAGTCAGGACTTACATACACGACCAACATCATCTGATCGTATAGGTAGTGAGCTCATTCTCTCGAGGAACATTCGTTCGTCACATAGACGTACCATGTAGATCATAGAGTATGATAGCGCACCTATTAATATCAGTGATAAGAGCTCCTGTAAAAAGAACACTTGTTAAATGTTGGCGAGTGCTGCTTGGCTGTAGGGCACCTCAGATCCAATTCGTGGTCTTTCCCATTTGTTGAGAGGTTTGATTGTTCTCCCACTTCGAGCATATTTCTCTTGACAAATCTCGCACTGATCCTTGTTCGACATCGCCACCCATCGGGACAGGCACACTTCGTGGATATCTCCCATCTAAAAATATTTTTGCTGTCACTCTTGACGGTCAGCAGTGAGTCGAATGCAGAAGCCATTTCCTTGTGTGGAAGCGTGTGCAGTCTATACCACGGCGCAGGGAGGGCGTGTCCACGACTTTGGCTGGCCGGCGCCCACCGATTTCCGCCCCGTTGTTCAGATCGGCTTGACGCGTCCAATAATTGGTGGGAAACAGGCCTGGCGCGTGTCGAACGCAGCCCAGCATCCCGTCGCTAAAAGACTACGTCAGCTATCAATAAACAAGCCATGCTGAGTTATGGGCAAAAGTCGTGCCCCAGGCGGGAGTCGAACCCGCACCTCACGCTTTCCGGCGAGTGCGCTATCCGTTACGCCACCAGGGCCCTATTTCACACCCTCTCAGGCTTAAACCGGCTTATGCCGTAACCTTACTCAGCACTCAAGCCGCTTTACAAAAACTGTTGTTAAGTTTGGCCATCGACGTCCTATGCGCGATATCTTAAACGATTCCGGCTGACCGGCTCACCATGTTAAACGTGTGAGTGCTGTAAGGCTACGGCATAAGCCGTTAAGCTGAGAGGGTGAAATAGGCCCTGGTGGCGTAACGGATAGCGCACTCGCCCGGAAAGCGTGAGGTGCGGGTTCGACTCCCGCCTGGGGCACGACTTTTGCCCATAACTCAGCATTCTTGTGATAACATTCAAAGACTACGTCAGCGTTTCTGGTGCCGTCTGCGCTCTCTTGCACACATGCTGCCTACGACTTTGCTCTGCTGCTCTGACCTGAACCCCGGCATTCCACACGTATGCAGGCGCCGCTATCCTCGCAACTGTGTCCGTGGTCACACTCTCTCCCACGCTAAGAGATGGACTGCTGCCGGGTCCCCAGGTCCGCACAGCTCTCGCGGTTCTGAATAGCGAGTTAAGCTTGTGATCCTGACCTGGGAAGGCCCACGCGCTCACTGCGAATGCTGCATCGAGAAAGCAGTCTCGCTTGTCTGTGCGCTCTTTCGCCTTTTGTCGCCTGGCCTCTCTTTTCGGCGTCCACTATTTCTTTGCTCATGCAGTGCTAAAAATTGGCAGCCACAATCATTGAGTCCTACTGTTCATCGCTGAACGACTTGGATATGTGACAAAACAATCGTAGGATACCGCGTCCGTGGGCATGGGCGACGCCGCGCCCGACGGACGAGTTGTCCTCCCTGGCCGTTTGCGTAAGAGTGTGAAAGGTATGGCGAAATTCGATAAGCCGCGCGCGCGACGCGAAAATTATGATTGTCTTGTCCATCCCCAGCGGTTGTGATACGCACTGTGGGACTGGAATTCTGCCCTCGCGGTATGAAATGCCACGTTTCTCTAGATTTTCGAATTATCTCTAGTAGTTACCGTTCCAGCACATCCACACGGTCGTACCATCTCACCACTTTCAGACTGGCAAATGCGACATGCTCTTCGTTCTATGGATGAAGATTGATCAGAATCTGATGCGCATCTGAAACAGTTTCGAATAAAACATTTTTGTGGGAGCTGTTTGGCACGGAGGGGGGGGCTTTGTGCACTTTCTACGTCTCCCATCGTACTGTAGACCGTTGTGAAGTGTAAACGAAGCTCATACTGCCGCATAGCTCAACAGGAATTTTCAAGTCCCCCTGGAGGGATCGGTAGTGATCTATAGGAACTAGCAAAATGCCTCCACCAAGCCGAACTGCGCCCATTTTTGTGTCCAGTCTACGGCAATTCGCCGCATAGAAACTGTTTTCATACCTTCCTTATTCCAACTGCTATATCTCGTCAAAGAAACAGTCCACGCTGATTGTAGGAGAGAAGACGGCCAACCCTTGCGCTTCCCTCTTTAATGTGCCCTACCTATTTGTGGAGCGCAAACAGGTGTGACAGTGGCGAGGGCACAATGACGGGCCTGACTCCGCCCACACAATTAGTGTGGACTCTGGTGAAGCCACTATCAAGTCGCAACACTAATCCTTTTGAACATCCTAAATCGCTTTAAGGTTCATTGGGCGGCGTCAATTTTTTGTTTTAAAATGTTGAGTAAGCATCCCAGTGACTTCTTGATCTACTACCTTTTCCTTACTACACAATTGGTTCATTACCACCTATTAGCTCGGAAGAGGAATAGCGGACTATCGCCAAAACCCAACCCTTACGCGATTTCGAGTTCTGTCCATTGCAACGTGGGTTTCATAAGAAAACCGAAGTTCAGAGCTTTTTTGAACTACTGCTGAGTATTGCGACGATTTGAATTTCAGTTTTGTAAGCGCCCGACACACCTGGATTTCGGATTCCCTATAGACATACAGGTATGGGCACTCCGTGGAGAGTCTTCTACTTCCGTCGGCGAATGCTGTGTTGCCGAGCATATAATGGAACGGGACACATTGGCTGAAATTGGAATTATCATTGATGAGCAAATGGTTTCGTTGCGTAGCCTATCGGCAGATGAGAATATGTATTGGCTTGTGAAGTTGCCGTCTACGGTCTATAGTACCGACCCCTGGAGTGTACCTATTTCAAGGGAGACGGGCAGGAGAATCGTAGTTTGCCGCTCCGCCGCGCGCGGTGTAGGCGCGGTGTTTCCTAACTCGTGCTATTCAATTAGAGCACCGGACTTCATGTAGACCCCGTCATCGTAGACATTCATGACTATTTTCGGTTCTGAATTGCCTGTTGTCGCCATCTACTACCTGGAACCATCGTCATTTGCGGGCGCGACGTCGCACGCGACGCCCATCAGCGCGGCGAATTACGATTCTCTTGTCACATACCCCCTATTTCCCTATCCTTTGTTAGGAATTGATCTGGACGCTCTGCGCTTCGGTAGGGACCAGCAGGCACAACATCCTGGGAGATCACAACGCGGGTGTATCCGCTCGCTGGAAAGGAATCGCATCTCATCGAGAGAAATTCTTTCTTACTGTTGCTTTTCCCGTTTAAGGTCCCACCGAAATCAAATCTCAGTCTCGCTCGCAGCGGTCGGTAGGGCAGTACGGCGCGTCAGTGGAGGTGCTGGGTTTGGCGCGGCGCCTACCCGTTCTCCACCAACTTTTGG